TGTAAACTCTGGATAGTAGCCTTTAGAAAAGGGGTTTAAGGAGATAATGCTTATGAAGGGTCCCTGGCCCGGGGCCTGTCACATGACAAATGTTAATCCTTTCACTTCTTTTCTTCTCCCCAGGTTATGGAGGATGATGAGCCTTGCTGATGCATAAATGATTATGAATATGACCTCTGAGGAAGGTTAATCCTGACTTCTGGCCTTCCACTGAGAAACTCCTTCACCCTCCCAAAACAATCTTCTCATTATATCCACTCATCGTACCCTGTACTTCTTTATAGCATTTATCCCAGGTCTGATTAATTAACTAATCGTGCATGTAACACCTCTCTTCTATACTAGCATTTAAGTTACCCCTCTAGAAGTGGGCCTTGCATTCAGTAGCCACTCAGTAAGTTATTTGTAGACTGAATGGGACACCTGTTACAGGGTTTCCAACAAGTGACATGTACCACTAGTGATATGTGAGATGACTTCAGGGGATAAATGTGGACTAAGTTCCTTAGTAATTTTAATTGTTATATATTTATCCTAATGTGTATTTGGCAAATAAATAACAGGCTCACCAAATCTGTGATTTTATATACAGTCATGAGCTAGTGACGTCGTAGCCATCTAATGTCATTGTAGTGCAATGCATTACTCCCACGTGTGTGGTGACGGTGGTGAAAACAAACCTACTGTGCCGCTAGTCGTCTAACAGCATAGCACATACAATTATCTACAGTACATAATGCTTGATAATGATAATTAACAATGTTACTGGTTTATGTATTTTCTATACAAAACATTTTATTGGAAGTATTCCAGAAGACTGCATTGTTATCATGGGAGATGGCAGCTCTGTGCATGTTCTTGCCTCTGAAGACCTTCCAGTGGGATAAGGTGTGGTGGTGGAAGACAGTGATGTTGATAATCCTGACCCTGTGTAGGCCTAGGCTTAAGTGTGTGTATTTGCATCTCAGTTTTTAACAAAAAAGATTAAAAAGTGAAAAAAAAAAACAACATAAAAAATAAAAATTAAAAAAGCTTAAGTCGGGCATGGTGGCACACACATGTAGTTCCAGCTCCTCTGGAGCCTGAAGTGGGAGGATCACTTGAGCCCAGGAGTTTGAGTCTAGCCTGGGCAACATAGCGCAACCTTGTCTCTAAAAAATTAAATAAATAAAAGAAAGTAAATTTTAAAAAAAGATTATAGAATAAGGATATAAAGAAAGAAAATATTTTCATACAGATGTACGATGTATTTGTGTTTTAAGTTGTGTTATTATAAGAGTAAAAAATTAAAAAAATTAAAAAGTTTATAAAGTTATAGTAAGCTAAAATTAATTTAATAATGAAGAAAGAAAAATATTTTTTATAAATTTAGTGTAGCCTAAGTGTACAGTGTTTATAAAGTCTACAGTAGTATACAGCAATGTCCTGGGCCTTCACATTCATTCACTCCCCCCCTCACTTACTGACTCACCCAGAGCAACTTCCAGTCCTGCAAGTTCTATACATGGTAAGTGCCCTATTCAGGCATACCATTTTTATCTTTTATGCTGTATTTTTACTGTATCTCTTCTATGTTTAGATACACAAATACTTACCATTGTGTTACAACTGCCTACAGTATTCAGTACAGTAACATGCTGTACAGGTTTATAGCCCTGGAACAATAAGCTATACCATATAGCCTAAGTGTGTAATGGGCTATACCATCTAGGCTTGTGTAAGTACACTCTTCTGTGATATTCACATGGTGATGAAATTGCCTAACGATTCATTTCTTAGAACATATCCCAGTTGTTAAGCAATGCACAACTGTATTTTTGTTTTGAATGAGGCTAAATAAAAAAGTAAATTGATACAAGGTAGTAAAAAAAACTAAGTAAATAATAGTGCCACTGCCATAAGAATATGGCAAAAACAATGAAGGTGATAAAGAAATGATAAAATTTTGCAATTACTGCTTAGCGTCAAGTAGTTACCCAGAGTGGACACATGCTAAAATTCCCTGCTTTAGGAGTCTCCTTAAGTAATGCAAGTAATGAGGGAGTCTGCTTTCAGAATCCATGGATTGTGAATTCTCAATTGGGACAATACTGAATTAGGAGTCAAGTCAGAACCAGGTCAAGAGGAGGGTTGAACCCCAGAACCCATCTCACATAAGTAAGAAGCATGCCACGTTCAGATATCTGGGTGGTATCATAGGAAATATAAAACACGAACTGAATAGCAACAGGGCCAGATCCCATGGCCACAATCAAGGTCAGAGCCAAGCCAGCAGGAACTACCCAGGAGACAGGGCACCTACCCTAGGAAGGATGTGCAACTGGCCTGGATTCATTCCCCTTCAGCCTTGAAGGCACATGGACCTGATTTCTGATATTGCTTCCTTCTCCAAGCAATTATCTCTCAATTTGCTACCTTTGTGCAAGGCTCCAGGAGAAAGGGTACCTTCTTATGTGCACTTTTGAAGAGCCAATGGATCTCTACCCAATACTTCACTTTTCCAGCAAACTGAAGCAGACTGCTGCCACATCGTCAAAGAAGCCGTTCCCTGAGCCTCCAACATTTGAGTCCCACGTCTCAGTCCCTATGCCGGGACGAAGAGGTGGGTATTACTGTCATCTTGGATTGGAACACAGTATGAATTTTCCCATAGAAAAAAGGTTTTGATGAATTAGCACAATTGATGTGTCATATATGTTCCAGGTTGTAGAGGATTCTGCAAGCTAGGCTGGGAACCTGATTACCAATTATACTATCACTCACTTCAGTGTTAAATGTTTTTAACATTTTAAAACAAAGTTTGGAGTTATGATTGTTCCATAGGTCAGGACTGCCTATACTTCAAAACACTGAAAATTCCTTAGTAGTGAATGTTTAATTCTACATATCTTTTATTTTCTTTTAACATCTTTAAAAATACTGGTTTTATCATCAATCGTGGCTACTATTCAAGTGTGTAGTTGTTGACAAACAACTGATTGCCTTCCCCCATACCAAAAGGACTCCATCTTCACATCTGAGGACAATTCTAGACACATAAATGTCTTTCCAATAAATATTTCTCTTATCAACTCTTAGCTCCACTAAATTATTCCTGAGATGAACTGGAATGACTGTTCTAACTCCTAGCCTGCACTATTGACAGTACATTATTCCCAGTTCTAAACATAAGTCTTTAACCAGATGTTTTCCACATTTGCTAGATGAAAAGAATTACCTGAGGCACTTTTATTAAAAACAAGAGTCTCTGGCCGAAGCCCAGTAATGAATCAGAATCTCCAGGGAGAGGCCTGGGAGCCGCACTTTTGAAGACTGCCCATCCCTGGTGACACTGTCAGTCAAGCCAGGGGTTCTTACCCTGGAGGCTACATTAGGATCGCGTGGAGGACTTGTTAAAACACAGGTTGCTGGATCCCAGCCCAAGAGCTTTTGATCCAGTGGGTGCAGGATGGGGCCTGAGAATCCGCATTTCCAAAAAGGTCCTGGGTGATGTTGATGTTCCTAATTCAGAGACCACACTTTTAAAATCACTTATTTATAGCCTGTTTGGTAAACATTTCAGCTGAGTTCAATATTACTTTTTTCCTCCTTTCCCTGGTCATAAAACAACACTGGGTTAGAGCTCACAAGACTTCCCTTGGATTCATACCCGTGCTACTTTTTAGCTGCCCGATGACAAATAAATTTACCACTCCACCTCAGTTTCCTCTTATTGTGAGGATTAAACACAGTAGCATAAGGGAAGGCATATAGTGCTATATTTGGCACACGACAGGCCTGCATTACACATCCATGTACTCTGATCCTCTTGCCATGATCCCATCCTACGAGCTACAGATGAATTTGCTGAGTTCTAGGAACAGGTTCCAAATTTATTACATGCACAAAACTTCGTTTGGTTAAAACCAACCAACCAAGAAACAAGCAATGGCTGACCACTTCTTTTCCTTGTGAACTATCATGTAGCTATATTTCGAATATAACATGTCCAATGGGAATACATTCAGCTTCCCAACTCACATTTTTCCATGGAAATAAAAACAGAAAAGAAAGAAAGATTAGATTATGATTAGGTTCTCTGTTTAATTTTGACCAGGATGAATTTAGTACCCAGGTATGGCTTATTTTCCTGGCAGGTCTTTGTTATATTGTTTGGCTATTTCTTGTGATCTGAAAAATCAAACAAATGAATCACAGGTTTTCAGACTCAGAGGGGCCCTGGAGGTCACCTGCCCTACTCATGGACCCCATAAACATTGCTGAAAACATCTCCAATGTGTAGTGGTCCAGCCTCTTCTTGGACACCCTGTGAGAATGCACTATTTTCATAAACTCTAATCTCCTCTTCAGATAACTGTTTAATTGTTGGATTTCTACCCTTTTTTTAACACAAATCTTTTTTTTTTGACCCACCCAGAAGATAGAAACAACAGTAATCTTTATTTCTGTAATTTCTATATACTTGGTCCTATTTCTGCCCTCTGCAATGCCTGAATATATTCAATCTCTCCTTCACATGGTGGTATTTAAAGTATTCTGAAGTAGCATTGACACATCTTCCTTGCCTATTCCTTTTCAACCTAAATATTGTTTTTTTTTTTAACTATTCTCACCATCAAAATTTCTGTTAAAAAATGTCCATATACTTAACAGTCCCAGTTCTCCTCCTGTGGATAAAGCCCACCTTGAGGATATTTCTTCACTAAAAAGTACCAAAATATGTTCACCACGTCCTACCGTCACCAATAAAAACAATGTAAATTTTAAGAACAGTGGAGTGTTCTGCTCCAGAGTTTCCAAGAACGGGAAACTACGGTCATAGAAAACTACACCATAATGACTGAGAAGGTGGTTTCAGGACAGGCTTGGAAGTAGTAGCTTGGAGCAGATGGATCTTGACATCATGACCCTACTTGAGTCAGAAATGCCACACTAAGTCAACAGAGATCCAAAAAGTCTCCTTTCAAGGAAAGCAGAGTGAAACAAAATGTATTTCTTACTTTCTACGAAACATTTCTGCAAATATGCAGCCAACACTCCAGAGATCCACGGGGGTGGCATAGCTGGACTGGAGCAAGACTTCTGGAGCTCTGTACCACAGCGTGACGACCTGCAACAGCAAACAGATCTGAGCGTTACTGAGGAAGAGGGCTGCTGGCTTAAACTGCTCACCGTGGGTGGTTTAATGAGAAGACTCAGTTCGGAAAGAACTCCTATAAATCATATGGGGACACTGTGGTAGAAGCAATAAGTAAATAAGACTCATCACTGACAGGCCAGGAAATTACATCATCCCCACAACCTGAGTTCCCACCTCAGATTGTGTGTCTTATCAGGATGGTAAAACAATATGAGTTTCAGAAAGCAAAGCAAAGACCAAAAAAAAAAAAAAAAAAACCAAAAAACAAAAAAACCACAACAAAATAAAACAAAACAACAACACAAAAAACTTATCTTAAAACTTTTTTTCCCCTCTTACGGGGCTTAAAAAAAACAATACATGGAAAACAGGTGAGAGCAACAATTCCAGCTTAATACCCAGGTCAGCACTACTGTGAAATTAGCAGATGATGCCAGAGCTGCTGGATGGTGACCCCAAAGTCTACAGAGCACGCAGAACAAGTCAAAACTGTGGTTATCATGACACTTTGGGGAATCAAAAGAAAACCCCTTTTCATGCTGCTATTTTCAGAAAACAAATTAAAAATAGGGAAGAATTTAAGAGAGAATGTGTAACCCAATTGTTCATACCATGTATAAAAATCATCCAGAGGAGGGGATTCCAAAAACAGAAGAACCCCATTTAATACAGAACGGTGTATAATAATAGATGAAAACAAATACAACTGTAATTATTTCTGTCAGGTTGAGGGCCGAGTAAATAATATTATGTTAAGGCTTCACATTTATGAGTGTATAGGGGTTCAAGTGATTTCTTTTTTGGGGGGCAGATATTCTATGGACACTTGAAATGAAGGTATATTGTCAGATAAGGAATTCAATATATAAACCTATTACATAAGCACTTTATATTATTCAGATCCCTTTTATCCTTATTGTTTTGTCTAATTGCATTATTATTGATGTCTATCTAAATTTTATGAAGTTCTGCTTTATGCATTTTGATGCTATATTACTTGGTGCAACAAGACCATGCTAGCAAGTCTCCAAAAATGGCTGCCATCAGTTTCCTTCTCTTGTCGTATGCACACACTGTTCCTCCCACCAACGGATGGAGTTCATTCACCTTCCATCGAATCTGAGTTGGCCTTAGTGACTTGCTTGACCTATGGAATATGGGGGAAGTAATGTCTGAGGCTACCAAAGCTAGGTCATAAGAAGCCTGTAGCCTGGGCATTTTTGAATGCTTGTTCTTGAGACGCTACCTTTTAGAACTCTGCTGCTGTCCTGTGATAGAGCCATCTTGGACATTCAAGCCCAACCGATCCCCCAGCTGACTGCAGCCCCAGACAACGCCACACAGAGCAGAACTGCCCAGCTGACACCAATCAACGACAAGGTTATGAGTGATAATAAAATGGTCAATGTTCTAAGTTTTGGGGTGGTTATACAGCAACATCTAATTGGAGCAAGATTCTTGACAGGTTCTTCCCTCTTCATCTCATATAACATATTTTGCCTTGAATTCACACAGGGGTCAAGTTTTGTTTAAGTAATATCTGGCTGATATCTACTGGAGGGATGGTGGTGATGTAATAGAAATAAAAACCAATCCGGGCATGGTGGTGTGTGCCTATAGTCCCAGCTACTTGGGTGCCTGAGGTGGAAGGGTAACTTGAGCCCAGGAGTTTGGGGCTGCAGAGAGCTATAATCGCACCATCACTGTACTCTAGCTTGGGCAACAAAGTGAGACCCTATCTCTAAAAAGAAAAAAAAAACAAACTCCAAACCAACAATATCACAACAATGTTACTTATCATTTGACTCCAGTGTATCTTTCCAGTATCATCTCCCATAGTTCTTCCATATCCTTTACATTCTAGTCACATGCTATACTATACCACTGGTTCTCAACCCGACTGTGCATGAGAATCACCCATGGGTCTTTTAGAAAAATTTAGGTTGAATTAGACTCTCCATGGGTTGGCCCCTTGGAGTTTTCCTTTTTCTTTCTTTCTTTTTTTAAAAAAAGTTCTTCAGGTAACCCTCCCCCAAAAGGTACTATTTTTGCTAAAGAGAGTGTCCAATGCTGGGCTCTAGTTTTTAGTTACATGATTTATTTCTGCTTTATTAATATTTCTAGTTGGAGGAACACTTCTCTCTGCTTCTCTGACACACTGTAAACAAAAGTGCAGGTGCAAACTGTCCATAAAGTTCCACTTGAATGATTTGTAGACATATACAGATATTGTGAGAGCACGCATTTATCTTTTTACCTCACTTCAAAATAAAGTCTAACATCACAGGAGATGAAAAGTTTAATCTGAATATAGCCTTATTTCAAGCTGTTCTAAGGAAACTGTGATTTCTGATTGATTATCCATCCTAAAAAACTTTAATAGGCTATTTTCATTTTTAATATACTTTAGTCAGTAATACTTATTAGTGATTATCAAATATTTAGACAGGCAAAATAACAAGAACAATATTGATATATTTAGGAAGTTCCCTTCTCTTCCTTTAAAATTTTGTAACCATTAAAATGTAGAATGAATTTTTATCAAATGCTTTTTAAAATGTCTATTAATACCGACCATAGCTGTATACAAACAGTCATAAGGATGTTCACTCTCCAATAACTACCAAAAGGGGAGTATTATTCAGCCATCAAAAAGAATGAGCTAGTTCTCATCCTGCTCACATAGGAAAGATGTCTATGATACAGCGTTAATACATTTTTAATAAAGATCCTAATTTTTATTAAAAGTTTATGTGTGGGTATAAATATAATAACCATATGTGCTTAGAAAAATGTCTGTAAGGACACAGAAAAATCAAGCTTTAAATAGACAATGGCCACAAAACATGGCAGTGCAGGGGTAGAAAGTGGGAAGGAAAAGAGGGGCTGTTTGACAATTTCAATGGCGCAAGTATAGTCGGTTACTGTCAGCAAGCACATTTTACAGCTGAGAAACTAAATTTCAGAGAGGTTGAGTAACCCAGCCAGAATGATGTAGCCGAGAAGTACAAGTCCTGGGACTCACACCAGGACTGTCTGATTTCAACCCTGTGTGCTCCTTCTTCAATATCCAACACAGCACCTTTCACTCAGCCCTCTAAACATCCACAAATCAAGAGGCAAAGACACAGGCTGCAATTAAGTAACCAGCAAGAAATAATTTCAAATTTACTTTGAAATATTTTAATGTAAACTTTTTAAAGAGCTTACAAATATCAAAAACTCACTGTCCTTTGGGGTTAAATGATCTCCTTCAAAAATGGTTTAGGAACAAGGCTGTATGTATGGTATGGCATCTACTCATCAATTGCCACTTAATAACTTCAATGAAAACTAAGATTTAAAAATCTCATTTGTAGGTATAAGATTTCTGCTTAGTCTTTGTGTAAATCATGGCAACAAAGAGAAATTAGATTAATTAATTTATGTTTATATTCTATTTTGAACTATCATTTACCTAAAGAAAGATCTTTTTTGGCTTAGTTTTTATGGAATTCAACATGTTTGAATTCCAAAATAAAATACGAATTGTGTAAGACTTACATTTCTAGTTAACTCTCTAATAAAATAACTCAAACAATGCTTCGGGCCTACATTTAGAAATAACAAACTACTATCTTTTGCAATAGATATAAAAAAACTGCATTTTCTAATATTGTTCCCTGGTTTATGTAACATTATCCTATATATCAAGAGACCTTCCCTCGTTTTAATTTGTTAATTTAAGTGGCTATTCTACAATCTTTGACCCAGAGTCCTTCAATCCTCACATTAAAAGTCATTGTAATTTTAAATATCTCCAATGACGACAATTTCGGTAATTTCACGGGATTTAAAATATATACTACAACTAAATCTGGATCCAGGTTTTTGAGAACAAATTATAAAAAATTTTCCTGACAGTAAAATATAAATTTCCTTTGCTCAGAAATTATTATACTTCTTTGCCCCTAAAAACATCTTATGGAAGACTAACTTAAAACCAATTTAAATCACACTTAAGTAGAAATTTATTAATTTTTATTTGAAAGCTTTATACAAAATGGACAATACCAACAAAATTGTTTCAGGAAGTAAGAAAAGTTCTCAACAGCATAATCAATTTCTACCAAAAGTTCTCTATGTTTAATAATTCTAAATATCCTTAAAAGCAAAATATAATGGTAAATTTAAATTTAAAAGCACGTTGAGGCAAACAATGAGTGCAATATATAATGATCCACATTTAGAAATCTATGACAAAGGTAGCTACCAATGGTAACAATGCAGTTGTCTAGTAAGCAAAGATAACAATAGGAACTATGGGCAGAGTTTGGTGGTTGGAGCCAGCTGGAACCAAAGCAAATATGATGTTTATTACAATCATTACATGTATTAACAGACTCCAGAGGTGCTGAATGGATTTGGCAGCAGGAGGGGGAGCGGAAGGGGTGGGGGGAGTTCAAGGATATTTACACAAGTGGATGTATGTGTTTAAAGGGCTTTGATCTCTATTCGCGTTTTTTTTTTTTTGAACCAGTTCAATAACAGTATAAGATAAAGTATAGCCAAGGCCAACTCTGACTCAAAATACATGTCAGAGTAAACCACTCTCACTTCATATAATATTTAACAATCTTTTATTTATGGATCCTTTCACCAAGATCCTTGAAAAACTATAGATGTTATCTGCTTCATCCTTATTATATGGCTACAATGGCAGAAAAGCATGGTATGAATGTTGTGCTGGATATCTTATTCTTGCCTCTTGAGATGGTCTCTGCCCTGAGGGCAGATCTCTGCCATATGCCTCCAGTTTCTTAGTGGGTATTGGCCAACGCCCTTGGCAGGAGTTCAGAGAGAGGTAGTCGTGTGAGTTCAGGGTCCTTAACTTGTCGATTTCCTCCCAGCAAAGCTGTCTAGAGCTGGCTGTGCTGTCATCACAAAGCCAATGTCCATCTTGGGCAGCCCACTGTACCTAATTCCTTCCC